ATGGATCGTGTAAAATTAGTAGAACGTTTCACAGCGTTTGCCAAACACACACCTTGATGAAAATGTGTTGCCAGGGATTCCCGTCCAGAGTGCGAATAGCGAAAGAATAACGTTTGTCATCATGACTGGCCCTCAGGCGACCCTTCGCCGGGCGATGCTCAGATACAGGAAGACACATCATTCGTAAACAGTGACGTATTCTAATATCTTATCTACATATGTTACATGAACAGTAAGTTTCTAAGACGGAAATCTGTTAGACTGTGATAAGGGAATGAAGGAAAAAGTTTGCTTATAAAAAGCGTTACCAGCATTTTACTTGTACAGCGATACGAGTTGATAATGTGTTAATAATAAAAAAATGAATAAATAAAATACCATATACTTTTTCTTTGAATAATTCCCCTAATACAATATACATACATACACGCATTAGTCCACACCAAGGTTACGTGAGGACTAGCAGGTATGCTCCTTGTGCGCAGCTGCAGCGACACCTCAAAGTCCTCACTCGTGTTTACACTATCCCCCAAGGTGACCTCGCTATAAAACGAGTTCCTAGGGAAGGAAACCGTACTACCGTCCCCACACTCATACAAAATGGTAATAAAGGAGGACTCTACAACTATAAGAAAAGGACGTATGTCGTCAGGATATATAGTTTTCGAATTAACCCACCCACCACAGATTTATGATCTGTCTCTTGCATTTTTTTTGTGAATTTTGTTACATACAGATGGGTCCACAAGAAGTCTAACAGTAGGCTCTAGTGACCGATCTTGATTTCCCCATTCCTTGAATTGGCGGGAAAGTCTGTTTTTTTCTTTTTAATACAATTAGTATTAATAATGTTATTAATGTTAAGGATGTTATGATCATTAAATTGTTTTTAAAATTTTGGTAACACTCAAGGCAAGGAAATAATAGAAAAGAACCTTTCCAAAAGTCAAGGAAGGGGGTGAGATAGGTAGGATTAATAACCGACTCCTTGGTGACTAAAAAAACTGTAAAGCCATCATTGTGTAAATTTATATTACAGTAGGTATGGCATATATTCTTGCCATCCGTGTCGAATGGGTTAAAAAAGAAACCTTTAAAATATTTCCATACTTTCACTCTGATACATTAAGGAATATGAGAAGGAATAAATGCACAAATAAACAGATAAATACATATACATATATATAATACATTTATCAATGTCTATACACACAAATATATATAATATGCAATATAATATAATATAATACATATACTTTTTATACATTATATATATATATATATATATATATATATATATATATATATATATATATATATATAAGAATATACATACACACACACAAACTCATACATACAAACAAGCAAACACGCAAACACAGAAGCACGCGCGCGCGCGCACACACACACACAAATATATATGTATATATATAATTTATTTATTCATTTATAAATATAAATAAATTATATATATATATATTATATATATACCATATATATACATATATATATATATTATATATATCATATATATATATACATATATACATATATGTATTATATATATATATATATATATATATATATATATATATATATATACATATATATATATATATATATATATATATATATATATATATATATATATATTATATATTATATACATATATATATATATATATATATACATATATATATATATAATATATATATATATATATATATAATATATATATATATTATATACATATATATATATATATATATTATATACATATATATATATATATATATATATATATATATATATATATATATATATATATTTATATATATTATATATATATATACATATATATATATATATATTATATATATATATATACATAT